TTTTCTGAGAATCTTTAAGGAAGCTGACTCCATCATCTTTCTTCCCTGAGTAGCTAGAGGGCTTGAACTAACATTTAACCCACTGTTCTACTAGGCCCCATACTAAATGTGCTAATACGCACTCCCTCCTTTTAAGATATTAAAACACACATCAAATTTAACATTTTAAAATGCATCATTCATGGGCCTTTAGTACATTCCCAGTGTTGTGCATGCACCATCTTGATCAAGTTCTGAAAGAGAATCCCCTCTCCAAAAGGATGCCCTGGACCCAGCTGGTAGTTACTCATCTTTCCTCTTCCCCAGACGTCTCTAAACCCACTGCTGTCAAGTCAGATCTGACCAACAGGATCCTCCATCAGGTTTTCACAGTGGAAAACCTCTCTGGGAGGAGGCTGCCCGTCTTCCTCCTGAGGAGCTGCTGGTGGATTGAATAGTCAACCCTTCTGTTAGCAGCTCGACATATAAGAAAAACAACCAGCTCTCCTTTCTCACTTCTTCTTGTGACCTTCATAGTGACCCTTTGCCCTATGACCTGTGCCGTATCCTCTCCTGTGCCGTCCTTATCATCTCTGACATGCTTGAGCCCATCTATTGTTGCAGTCACGTGTCAATCCATTTGTTTGATGTGTCCACCTTTCCAAGCATGGTGTTCCTCTCCAACAGATACCCTCTCCCAGCAATATGACCAAGGAATATAAGATAAAGTTTTGTCATCTGTGCAAGACATCCAAAGAACATGTTGGTTTCACTTTCTCCAAGACATATCTATTTGTCCTTTTGAAAATCTGTGGGATTGTTCAGTACTCTTTCCCAGCACCACAGCTCAAAGTCATCAGTTCTTTTGTCATCCTTATTCATTGTCCAACTCTCAGATTCATAGCAAGTGATTGAAAAGATCATGGCTTGAATCAGGCACACCTTAGTTTTCAGACTGGTATCATGCTCCTCAATACTATGTAGCGGTCCCTGAGTGTAGATTTTCCAGTGCAGTACATTTAATATCCTGGGACTGTTGGTACCAAGGATGTTGATTGTGCATCCAAGCAAGATAAAGTTGTTTATAATATCAGTCTTTTCACCATCTGTTGTGGTATTGCTTATTGGTCTACTGGTGAGAAATTTTGTTTTCTTGACATTGAGATGTAATCAATATTGAAGGCTATATATAGCCTTGGATCATCTGCAGCAAGCATTTCAAGTTCTTCTTACTTTCAATTAGCAAGGTTGTATCATCTCCATAATGTAGATTGTTGATGATTCTTCCTCCAATTCTGATGCTATGTTCTTCTTCATAGAGTCCAGCTTCTTGAATGAAATGCTCAGCATACAGCTTGAATAGATATGGACAGAAGATATAATCCTGACACACTTCTTAATTTTAAACCACATTATATTCGCTTGTTCTGTTTGCACAACAGCCTCTTGGTCTAACTGTAGGTTTTACATGAGCACAATTAAGTGTTCTGAGATTCCCATTGTTCTCAATGTTAGACAAAATTTGTTATGATCCACACAGTCAATACCTTTGCATAGTCAGTAAGCACAGATAAACATTCTTCTGATATTCTTTGTTTTCAGTCTGGATCCATCAGACATCAGCAATGATATAAACTTCTTCTAAATCCAACTTAAACTTCTGGCAGTTTACTGTCTATGTGTTGTTCTAGCCATTTTTTAATGCTCTTCAGCAGTATTTTGCTTGCATGTGATTTTCATGATGTTATTTGATAATTTCCATGTTCAGTTGGATCATCTTTCTTGGGCCTTGGAACAAATATGGACCTCTTTCAGTCAATTGGTCAGGAAGCTGTCCTCCAAGTTTCCTGGCATAGACTGGTGATTATGTCACCTCAATCCTTGGCAAATGCAAGTTTGTTTTCTGTCTCATGGATTTGCTGGTTCTAAATATTTCATGTATATTGTTATGTACCATTGAGTTGGAACCTACCCATGATGACCCTCAAGTGGGTTTTCAGAGGCTATAAATCACACAGTAGATGGGTCATTTTTCTCCCTTGGAGGAGACATGTAGGGAGACAGAAAATATGTAGTCTTTTGTGTCTAACTTCTTTACTTATCAAATTTCAGAATTTACCCATGTTGTAGAATCTATCAATACCCTTTTTATGGTTAGATAATATTCCATCTTATGGATATATGTCAGATATATCCTGTGCCACCTTCCCCCACCCCCAGGGAAAAGAAAATGCACGAAATAATATAGACATTACTCTTTTGCTCCATGTGCTTCAGAGCTCTCTTTCCCCCCTAAGAATTAGACATGGGAGTTGAGGGGAGAATAGGGAAAAGTGATTAGATAGTGAACATTGCATCAGAGCAGATGAGGGGAAGAACTGACCGAAAGAAATTTATGATCAGGTACTAAATGTATAACAGTTATCTGGGAGAAAAGATGCATCACAAAGTGGACAGGACGTGGGGGAAGAAAAGGTAAGGAGACAGAATAAAAAATAAAGTGGACTGGGAGAGGAGTAGGAGGGAAGAAAATGTGCAACAATGAATGACTTAAAAGACTTGAAGATTGTAATTTCACATAGATGGTCAAGGTGAACCTTATTCTTCAGGGCTTCCTTTCCCATCAGAAGCAGGCAGAGTTAGCCTCAGGGTCAGTGGATTTTCCTTATTCCTCATTCTCTGCTGTGTTCCGCAGGGAGTGTTCCTGATGCAGTCTTTAAGGAGTTCTGGTGGCATAGGCCCTAGGGAGTTGCACTGCTAACCGAAAGGGGGCTGGTTTGAATCTACCAGTGGCTTTTTAGGGAGGAAGATTGACAGTCTTTCCCATGTGACTTACAGCTTCTGAAAACCTGCTGGAGGGTCAGCCATGAGCTGGTTCTCAGTTGGTGGCAATGAGTTTGTGCCCTTGTGGGCTTTTTTATTTAAAATTTTTATATTTTCTGTATTTTTTTTTTTAGTGTATAAAATAAGATTGTCTTGACCACTGAGCTTTTTTGGCATGCTTTTGTAGTTTTTGCCATAGACAATTGTTTCATGTGTCTCCAGTAACTGGGGCGATGGGGGTTGGTTTGTCGGAATTAGTGAGACTGGCTCAGGACAGGGAAGGGTTCAAAACTGCTGTACATAGGGTCACTATACATCACAGGTGGCTCAGTGGCACACAACAACAATAGCATACTGTGACAGGTTTGGAAGCTGGAGTGGCATCTACTTTCTAAACAACATGCCTCCGGAAACTCCATGAACTTTGATAAATGTCGATAGTTTTAGAGGGGCTTCAGGTCTTTTGTTCATAGGGTCGCTATGAGTCGTGCTTGGCTTGCAGGCAATCAATAACAACAGCAGCAATAGGCTTATCCATTGAGGACAGGTTTTTCTGCTGAGATTCTAGACTGACATAGCATAGCAGGAGGGATGTGGCAATCAATGTACTTTTGAAAAGACCGGCTAATGAAAGCTTTATGCATACATAGCAGTGTAATGTCAGAAAACGCTCTCTCCAGATTGGAAGGCACTCAAAATAAGACTGGAGAACAGCCTCCTCAAAGTAGAGTTGACCTTCATGACGTGGAGGAACTGAAGTTGTGCTGATATGGCAAGACTCAGAATGAGAAGAAACAGCTGCAAACGTTCACTACAGTGTAGAGTCAGTGAAAAAAACCTTCAGTGAAATGGATTGACACAGTGGGTTCAAATACAGCCCCTAACAGTGTGAGGATTGTAAAGGACTGGGCTTTGTTCTGTGGTGCATAGGGTCCAAGTGAGTCAGAACTGACTCCATAGCACTTAACAAGAACGGCAGTCACATATTTATACATAAAATGATGTACATTTGTTTACTTAAGAGTACTTGTGGTACAGATGATTAAGTGGTTGGCTGTTAACTGATGATTCCTATCTACCCAGGAGTTCTTACGGAGAAAGATCTGGTGATCTGTCTCCATGAAGAAAGCCCTATCATGCCATTCTGCTCTGTCATAGAGGCTACCATGAATTGACTGCAACAACAACAAATATTTAATTTTCTAAAAAGAAAAATGTTTTTCTTCAGCTGCTTCCCAGAGTCTCTTTCTTACCCTGACTGGTAACTGCTCATAGTCTTACAGATGCACAGCTGCATTCATGTTCCTTGACTGCTCGGCAGTGCCAGTCCTAAATTATGTTTTGTTGTTGTTGTTGTTGTTATGTACCATCTGGTTGGAACGAGATGGAGCTGACCCTCCATTGGGTTTTTAGAGGCAGTAAATGGTATGGGAGGAGATTGCCTATCCTGCGGAGCAGCTGGTGGATTCGAACTGAGTGTCTTTGAGTTTGCAGCACAGCTTCTTACCACTAGACTAGCAGAATTCTCCTCCAGGGAGCTCTGGGGCTTAGAGTTTAAGGAGTTAAGTTGCTATCTCAAAGGTGGTGCTTCTCTGTTAGCTTCAACCCACTGGTGACTCCGTGGGAGAAAGATGGACACTCTTTTCCCATAAGGTTTACATTTTCAGAAACCAATGAAGGGTCATCTGCAAGTCAGTGTAACCCAATGGCAGTGAATTTCAAGAACCTTGGTTCTGATGGTGTGCTGTGTGTTGAGTTGCTTATTAAAAAGTCAGTGGTTCGAATTCACCAGTCACTTGGAGGAGGAAAGCTGGTCCATCTCCTCCCATAGATATTTACAGCCTCAGAAACGTGATAGAAGGTCACTGTGAGTTGAACCAGACATGATAGCAGCGGGTTTGGTTATTGACCCTAGTTCAGTTTAACATCTGAGTTCCATGTTTGGCCTGCTTTCCCCCAGAAACTTGTCTGGTTTTTTTCTGTCCTCACAGCTTTCCTTTATCAAACCTTTGCCACTGGATTGTCTCATATTTAATATGTATGTAGTTATTCACTGAGCATCAGTGTAATGCTTTTTCGGTTGGTTTAATGTGACTCTAAAACAGTTAATTTTTCTTCAGTAAAATGTTATTAAAAAAATAAAATGTTATTCCATCATTTTAAATGCTGATCTGAAATACTCTATGGCTTTATTTCAGGGACTTGAAGATAGAAAACTTGCTACTAGATGAAGACAATAATATCAAGCTGATTGGTATGACTTTTTGTTTTGTTTTTAAAGTAAGATTATCATTTAAGAATGTGTTTTCAATTCTCAGTTATTTGTTTCTGGAAGACTAACTTTGGGAATTATCTCTGGGTGTTTCTTATGGCCAGACGGGACTTCTAGATCACTTCCTTTTACTTTTGATACTTAAAAATGATTTGAAACGGAAAATGAAGAAAAAGAATAGTTTAAACATAGTAAGGAAGATTAATAGTACTACAGAGTGAGTTTCACAACCCAATAAATATTTCTTGGTTACCTCTTTCTTTGTATTAGTCAAACAATGTTGTTGTTGGTATGTGCTATCGATATGCTGGCAACTCATAGTGATCCTGTATACAACAACCCTAAACTCGGCTACATCCTGTACCAATCTCATGGTCTCCGACAGACCCAGTCCCACTTCTCTAGTCACTGAATCAATCCATCTCATCATGGGTCTTCCTCTCCTGCACTGTCTCTCCACCCTTCCAAGCATGATGTCCTTCTCCAAGGATTGGTCCTTCCTGGCCACGTGCTTAAAGTATGTGAGACAGAACGTCAAAATCCTAGCCTCCAAGGAGTAGCTTGGTTTCACCCTCTCCTAGACTGACCAGTTAGCTGCTCTGTATATTCAGATGGGGAACCTAAATAGTTCTTGGTTATATATTTCTTTGCATTATTTAAATAGTAGCTTTTCTGTAAATTCACATGGGGAAACTAAGCTTTTGATTGTTGTTGTTATGTACCATCAAGTCAGAATTAATGAATAGCTTACCCTCCTTTGGGTTTTCAGAGACTCTCAACTTCATGGGGGGATATGGCCCATTTTTTTCCTCTGAAGAGCAGGTGGTAGGTTTGAACTGTCTGCCTTTGGGTTGGCAGTGAAACTCTTTAGCACTATTTAAAAAGAACGGAAATTAGTTTGATTAAGAAATACTGCAGAGTGTGGAAACTGTAGAACAATATCATTGATTTTACATGCAAGCAAGATTCTGCTGAAGATTATCCAAAAATGACTGGAACAGCACATCAGCAGAGAACTGCCAGAAGTCCAGGCTGGGTTTAGAAGGCATCGTGGTACTAGGGATATTGTAGCTGATGTTAGATGGATCTTGGCTGAAAGCAGGGAGTACCAGAGGAATGTCTATCTATGCTTCATTGACTATGCAAAGGCGTTTGACTGTGTGGACCATAACAAACTGTGGCTGACTCTGAGAAGAATGGGAAACCCAGAACACTTGATCATGCTAATGTGAAACTTACACTTGAACCAAGAAGCAGTCGTTTGAACAGAGCAAGGAAACACAGCATTGTTCAAAATTGGGAAGGGCGTATGCCAGGGATGTGTCCTGTCTCCATACCTTTTCAACCTGTATGCAGAACAGATCATCCAGGAGGCTGGGCTCTGTGAGGAGAAATGTGGCATCAGGATTGGTGGAAGATCTATCAACAATCTGCGTTGTGCAGATGACACAAGCCTGCTTGCTGAAACTGAGGAGGACGTGAAGCGCTTGCTGCAGAGAGTCAAGGACTGCAGCCTTCAATATGGATTGAGGCTCAATGTCAAGAAGACAAAGATTCTCACCACTGGACCAATTGGCAGCATCAGGATGGATGGTGAAGAGATTGAGATTGTTCACAGCTTTAGTCTGCTTGGCTCCACAATCAACACTCTTGGCACCAGTAGCCAGGAAATTAAAAGATGTATTGCGATGGGAAAGTCTGCTGTTAGGGACCTCTCCAAAGTACTGATGAGCAACGGTGTGTCTCTGGAGACTAAGGTGCGTCTGGTACAGGCCATGGTCTTTGCAATCACTTGTTATGCATCAGAGAGCTGGGCAATGACTAGGGAGCATAGAAGGAGAATTGATGCTTTTGAGCTTTGGTGTTGGAGAAGAGTGCTGAGGGTACCATGGACTGCTAAGAAAACAAACAGATTCATCCTGGAAAGGGTTAAACCAGGCTGCTCCATGGAGGCAAGGATTCTGAGGCTTCGTCTGACATACTTTGGTCATGTTGTAAGGAGAGACCGGTCCTTGGAGAAGGACATCATTCTTGAGAGGGTGGAGGGCAGGCGCAGGAGGTGAAGACCCTCTGGGAGGTGGATTGATTTGGTGAGTGGGGCAATCGGGATGAGTGTGTTGGAGACAATGAGATTGGCACAGGACAGAGCAGAGTTTAGAGCTATGGTCGCTATGAGTCACAAGCGATTCTACGACACATAACAACAACAACAGCAAGAAATACTGCCATAAGCTTCATCATATTATTTTCCACGCTTCAAAGTATATTATTTATTAGAGTCCTGTAATAGAGTGGCAGTTGTGCAGAGGGAAATACCCAAGGAAGGAAATTACTAATTGTTGAAGGGAAGCTCAAGGCAAGAACTTAAAAAACACCAACCCCATAATTTAATAAAATAAAACCTAACAAAACCTAATACCCAGATGCTGTCAAGTCAATTTTGACTTCTGCCAATTCCATGAGTGTCAGAGTAGAATTGTTTCTAGAGTTTTCCATTTACTGGTTTTTCAGATATAGATCACCAGGCTTTTTTTCCTGAAGCACTTCTGGATATATTCAAACCACCAACATTTTGTAAAGCCCCAAAATGAAACCCACTGTCATTAGATGAATTCTGACTCATTGGGACCCTCCTTTTGGGTTTCCAAGGCTATATACCCTAATGGGAAGCGACTGCTGCTTCTTCCTTATGCAGCACAGACAGGTGGACTTGTGCTGCCAGTCTGTGGGTCAACGGCCCAACCGTTAACTCACTGAGCCACCAGCATGCCTACTACATGCAGCTATTAAAGCCATAGTTGTTTCAGCACTGTTCGAAGTCTACATGAGAATTCACCCTGGCTCTCTATCTAGAAGAGTTTTATTTTATCTTTGCCTATGTGGTTGCCCTTAGCAAAATTTTGTGGCATCGTTTTCACACCCAGATGCCAAACAATACTTGATTTTAGTCCTCTCTTTCTTTATTACAAACTCAAGTAATTTCTCCCACATCAATAACTTGAAAGATATTAAGAGGGGGAAGAGAAGACTCAGTAGGACTTTGTGAACTTGACTTTTTATGTCCAAGAAGAAAATCTTGTTTGATAAATTTTGAAAATCATCTCAAGACCTCTCCAAAGCATATCATTGAAATGACTTACTAGAGACTTGGTAATCACAGTCGGCTTCCACCCAGTAACTGGAGAGGGTTCTATCTGCTATAGACCTCTTGGCTGGATGATTAAGTACTGGAGATAATTGTCAATGGATCTACTCATTATTTGAAGGTTAACAAGAGGAAACATTATCCCCCCACCCCTGGCAAAAAAGCTTTGTAAAGATTCTATCTTTGCAGAGTTCTTAGATGATTCAAAGGGTTTTATTTTTATAAAATTGTTTTACTATTGCATTTTACTTGTCCCGAGTGTCAAAGACAAGCTGTGAAGACAGCCTTTGCTGAAATACTGCAGGGTATCTTTCTGCTCCTTGTTTCCAGGGTATAGGGCATTAAACAAAGGAGCCTCCAGGTGGGGGGTGAGGAATGAAAGAAGAAAGATGTTTGCTTAAGGACCTTGGCAGGCTGACCTGCAACATGTCTTTGGAAAATGTAACAAGAGTTGCCTTAATATCAGCAGAGTATGACTTGAACTGATGAACAGGATTATAACAAATGGAGGAGAGACTGAAGTTGTCAAATGATTTCCGTTTACTTGGGTGAACAGTTGTTAGTTATGATATGGAAGTTGTTTTTATTGTTACTGTGTTAGGTGCCATCAAATCAACTATAATTTAGGGCAATACTGTGAACGACATACCTGAGCGTTGCCGTATCCTACACTGCCCTCATGATCTCTGATACGGACGAACCCATTGTTACAGTCACCGTGTCAGTGCATCTTGTTAGAGGTCTTCGCTCTTTCACTGACCCCACCTTTCCTAGCACGATGGTCCCTATTGATAACATACCCAGTATTTGTGAGATGAAATTTCACCATCGTTGCCTGTAAAAAGCACACAGATTGCAATTTTTCCAAGACAGACTTACTTGTTCTTTTTGCAAGTCCATGGGGTATTCAGTCCTCTTTTCCAACACCATCATTTAAAGGCTTAAGTTCTTCTGTCATCCTTATTCGTTGCCAAACTTTCAAATGCATGAGAGTAATTGGGAAGACCATGAGTTGGATCAGGCATCTTTAAGATCATTATTAGCTCATTGTTGCTCTTTAGAAGCTTCTTGACAACTCCTTTTCCCAATACGACATGTCTTGATTTCTTGACTGCTGTTACCAATGGGTGTAGATTATGGATCCAAGTAAAATGAAATGTTTGACAACTTCAGTCTTTTGTTAGTACCAGAGAAATGTTTTTGTTTTATTGACAATGGAGAGGCATTTGGCTGCATGTATCATAATAAGTTACAGCTAACATTGAGAAGAATGGGAATCCCAGAACATTTAGTTGTGTTCATGCAAACCCTATAGGTAGACTAAGAAGCTGTTGTCTGAGCAGAACAAGTGAATTATTATGGTTTAAAGTTAGGAAAGGTCATGTATCAGGGTTATATCCATTCCCCACATCTATTTAATCTGTATCTTGAGCAAATAATTTGAGAAGCTGAACTGTATTAAGAATGATATGGAAGTAGCAGTCAAGCTATCAAACAACAGATTGCATTGGGAAAATCAACTGGGACAAAGCTTTTTAAAATGTTAAAAGCAAACTTTTTGTTTCAGTGACAGAGGTGCACCTGACCCAAATCATGCTATTTTTCAATCACTTCACCTACATTCAAAAACTGGACAATGCTGGAAATGGAAGAATTGAAGCGTTCAGCTTGTGGCATTTGCGAAAATGCTGAATGTACCGTGAGAGGGTAAAACAATGGACAAATCAGTCTTAGAAAAAAATGCAACCAAAATGTTCCTTAGAAGTGGGGATTCCTTTGCTTTGGATAAATCATCACTAGGGAAAAGCAAACCTAGAAAAAGATATCATGATTGGTA